ATGTATGTGTATATGTATTAAAATATTTGTAAATATATTACATATTTATTCTAAAATTCCATACTATATTCATATTTTACGTTTTTATTAACATTCTACAATCAGCTTCAGAACAGAATATCAATTCAATATATTACTTTTTTAATACTACTAAGCTCATTATCTAATATCCATTTATTTAAATTAGAGCCGATAGCCTGTGTTGCTAGTGCTCAAATGTCTTCTTTTTTTTTAGTCTAAGAATTTATTTCATTAGTCTAAAATTATAATAATAATAATAATAATAATAATACGTTTTTATTAAGGTTACATTTTACGGCCTCCGGTTTATGTATGAGAAATTGAGGGATTTATTTGATTAAAATATAATATGTTTTTCAGTTTTTTTTTTTTTACTATAAATGTATTTAATAAAAACTTTAACTTTTCTTCGCCTATATAATTAATTAATCAAATAATTGTACCTTAACAGAAATTATTGAGATTATTACGCAGTCTACAGGGACTTTTCTTTCATTGACGCAAAGTCGGTAGCATTTGTTACTTATATAGATTGAATCGTTTGGTTGCAAGTCCCATAAATGTTACAATTCATTACTTATCCGCTGTTGTCCAGCGCTGTGAGTTAATATATAGAAAAAGAATTCTCATTACATATTGTATTAGTATTAGTCGAATTGGAGCATAATTTTTTCTTTTTTTATATTCGTGTGACCAGCCGTTTAGTGGATGGTCCCTATGTGAGCATGGTGGGTAGAGAGGAGTAGTGGAGGTAGAATATAGTGTTTGTGAGCGTTCGACTGAGGTACCGCAGGAAGGATCACTACTGTGCAGGTTATTCCAAAGGCGATTAGTTCCGCTGGTGGGACGTGGGGACGAGAACACTGAGAAACCCGAGTAGCTTTGTGAAAAGACTTTGATTTGCGGAGAAATCTGTTCCATCTGCGTATAGAACGCTTGCTTTGCATGTACTTAACATAAGTAAGCACAACACAGCTCACATTAGACCGACGGTCAAGGTTGTGTAGCAAAATGTTCATAATACATAAAACAATGACATTGTATGAGCGATGGACTATGCGGTGTTTTCGCTTACGACAAACCTCTCATATTTTAACATCATTGTAACTGGAAGAAATATGTAGTAGGTTTTAAAGTATGAGGGTAAATATATTGGTCTTCATTGCGGACTTGTCTTTTTTTCGTTTCGTTTTTGATGAACTAATTATGAAAGCTTGAAGAAACGTACCCAACATCGCAAGATGGGAGTATATGCGTTTTAGCCAAACATTTGTAACATATAAAAGAAGGCTTTAGAGTCTTCGTGACATTAGTGCAATTTCTAAACATTTTCTTCGTCACTTAAATAAAACTATCTGCTTGACGAAAACATTAGATGTCTCATAGTAATGAGATTTTTCCCATATGCTTGGACATCTGCAACACGTGGTTGCAAGCTTCATAGACCCTTTACAGTGTATATAATTTCAGATCCCATAATGTGTGCGATCAGTCGCAATACTAAGTTCATCTAGTTATGTCTGTGTTTCCATCGTTATTGAAAATTGGTCAGGAACCCGCCCACACTGCAATATAAAGTGAGACCACCTTTGTTCTCAAGAGCAAAAACAAGCAGTTCTTCTTCTTTTTTTTTTTTTTTTTTTGGTCGTTATTTGTGACCCATAACAGATGTAAATAGCGCTTATAAAAGAGAAGACATCGGCCGTGCGCACCCAGTCGAATGCGGAAATTTTAATTTTTTTTTTCCCCCTTTTTTTGCGAAAGAAGTTACGCTCGAAATTAGCAGAGATTCACATTCGCAATTCATGTTATTCTTAACATATTACCTGCTATATTGGGGTGTGTATATCTTTTAGATGAGTATTAAACGTAGCAATGAAATCTCATTAAATTATACAAATTTTGTATTAATATTAAAAGAACTATCTAAAGATAGAATATTTATTTCCGCATTAATAAATAAATAAATTTATTTTAAAGCATATTTATTTTGAAAATTTAGTGTTAATATCTTCTCAAACTTATCCACAAACTCGTTTTCATAGATTAAATGCTAAATGTTTGGTTTTATAATAAATACCGGTATAGAGATCCATGCATGTTATGCTTATACTTATGTACTTATACGCGTATATTCGCGAGCATATAATTTTATGGAAAAATTGTTTAGACTGTGAAAACAATTTTTAGCTAACAACCAAAAGTATGCAATGGAAACTATTTAATACCATTTTAAGCGAAACGAACTTTTATAAAATTGTCGAAAAAAGATGGAAAGAAACGGAAGGAGTGCAACTGAAAATGCATTAGTAAATGTTTATCAGTAATAATGATAAAAGCAACAAATAATAACAACAACAACAACAATATGAGCGAAACAACCATCACGACGGTATTTATTAAATTCAAACTCATTTATTAGCAAGTTTTCTAAACACTAATTAACTAGACATAAGTATTAAATATGAGTATGCGTGCCGTTCATTTCAAAGGTCTTAAAATCCTATGCACACTAAATGACCATAATATTTGCATTCGCTTCGCGAATGTTTAATGTAAACGTATTTCTCTGTATGCTTTCCCAAACGTCAGGAAGCCTTAGTTAAACGTTGAGTTTAATTAAATATTTTAAAAATATACATATATATATATAAGCCCTTTTTCAAAGTGTTTGCCTGTAAATAGGTATAAATGTGTATCGTTGATTTATTGATAAAACAACATAGTATTAAGCAAAAATTCAAATGGAGTTCTTCGACCACAAACAACCGACCAAAAATTAAAGTTTTGTCTATGGCTACGTGTTAAACCTTCAACTTCAAAAACAGTAAATAGCAGGTGTGTGTGGTAGAAATCCCTTCAGGATTTCTAAAAGCACAAACCCAAAGATACATAAATTTAATGCTTACCGAGTATATTTATGTTTACGGGCTCACTTTGGTTAAGACTAAAAAATTTTATCGTTTAATTTCATACTTAGTCCGCAATTTCTCCCACAAACGTCTCTCGCATGTTTCACGACAGTATCGATCGCATCGAGCAAATTTTCAACGGCGATTCGACAATCAGTTGGCACCATGTTCGCGTGGAACTTTCGAAAGTCGACCATATTAACTACATTGCTAAGGCATTTTGCTTTGCCGAGCTTTGCTTAGTCACTGTAAAAGCCTATTATAAATCAATGACGTTGAAGGACAGTGAGGTAAACTATGTTTTTTTTTTTTTATTATGACCAAAGAAGTAAGAAAGGAGAAAGAGGTGAACATTGGCTATAGCTAAGACCAAGTATCGTTTACCAAAATCAAATTTGAACCCGAGAACATCGAATTGGTACTCACCAGCTTGCCTGCTCAGTTAGGCAGCAACCACAGTAGAAACTGAATCAAAGAGAGTTTATTTATATGGAAATGGGTTCTTTTGAGCATTGAACACTTCTATGCATTATCCAAGCGCAAAAAACGCCGATTTTCATAGCTCAAGCACAGAAATAAAGTATCAGTAAAGTAAATCCTTATCGTAATTATCAGGGAAATCCCATAATTAAGGAAAAACAACTGCTGCTCGCGAGGTTTGCTGGACAGACTTGTATTATCAAAAAATAAATAAACAAATAAATAAAAATACTGTCGTTGGCATTTGTAGACAAACTACAATCATTCCGTCTCCATATACAGTTAATTGAAGAGGAAAACAAAGAACTTAAGACTCTACTTTATAGGCTGGGCAGATACTTTTTTGCACTCCATTCAGAAGGGCACAGATACTTACACAGAGTAATTAAATCAATAGATATATAAAACTGAAATTTATATAACAATTTTAAATGCAAAGAAAGTAAATTAATTTCTTCAAAAGAAAATACTTTTGTGGGCTTTTAAGATCAGGCCTCTAGATATCTCCCCATCACTTCTCTCGCGTAGAGAATTTATTTACTCTATTCCGATTTGTACTAATTAACTTAGTCGACTTCTCTGGAGAATGTGCATTTTAAAAATTGCTTTTAAATTTGTCGATGACGAATATACTCGTCAAGCACAAAATATGTGTGTGATAAAATTAAGTTATAAAGGAACACATTCTAAATTACATTATTATGGCTGCTGAACGTCCGTAATGACAAATTTTATGAGGCAATCTGACAAGGACGGACGGACGGAATATGACATTTAATTGTTTAAAAAAATAGAGTCGAATGAAAGTTAGGCATCTGTATGTATATAGCCGTATGTATATTTCAGAGAGAATATTTTAAAACTTAAAATTTAAGAAAAACATTGAATTTTCTAAAACTTAAAAAAAAAAAAAAAAAAAAGAAAAAGAAAACCGTATAATAATAATTGCTTTTATTTTTGTAATATTTGCTATAAGCTTATGTGAATTAATCAATTTCCCATAGGAAATCCAAAATGCAAACACTTATTGAATTGTGTGAACGTCCGCGTTTGTCTGTGTTGCAGTAATATATGAAAATAGCCTTTGGGTTTATATCCGTTTAAATATGGTCGTTAATACTTTGCACTTTACCAACAAATGACAGACAAAAAATTAAATGTGTATATATGTGTGTGTATATGAGCGTTTGTATGAGTAAATATTGCACTTTCTCTTTCCATACGCAAGCTGGGCGGATTACTCAGAAGGTCCTTTTGTTATATCCTGCTTGCATAACTATTGATTTATGTCTTTTAATTTAAAATTTCCGTTTATATTATTTGCTTTTTGTTTTTATTTCTTCTCCACGAGAGCGCGAAATTTTATTAAATGAAAAATATTTACAACGACAATCTACATAACATATTTGTATAAGCAAAGCGTCGCTTTTGACAATAATTCAATAGCATATGACGCGACTTTGTATGAATATATATGTGTGCGTATATATATATATATATATATATATATATATACATGTAAAATAATTTAATGGAGCCTTTATAAAGAGTTCATTTCTTTTTTATTTCTGCTTTGCTGTCTTATAGATTGGGTCCCATGCCCGGCTCGGCACATCAGCAACAAATGCCACAAAGTATGTCAACGGGTAATAACACCATTGGCGGTCATGGTGGCCATGATCGCGGCGGTGGCGGTGCTGGTGGAGGCGGTGGCGGAGGTGGTGGAATGCCTGTCGCTGGCCCTGGTGGTCCTCATTGTCAAATGAGCGGTTCACAGCCCTTGGTGATGCCAGCATTTCCATTGCGTAATTCACACTCAGCCCATACACCGCATTATTCGCCCTACTCACCATCCAGGTATGTGCACATATTCTTCACAAACATATACGTATTATTTTGTCAATTCTTTTTCTCCTTACTACTTCTTTTCATACCCACTGCCAGAAGATGCGTACATACTAAATTTATCATTCTGGTTATGCAGCTACGAACAACTTATCAACGGCTTTGTAAGATATATATATTCTTGATAGGGTTGATGGATATAATTTTGAATAGATTTACCTCTGGCCCGCTGTCCCTCTTCTTCTTGCCTTTTACAGCAGTTCTTGCGTTCAGAGAAAGTGATATAAAAACTTGATGTTTTTTTTTTTTTCTAATCGGTGGGTAAATAACGAGTTTGAAAGTCGACCTGTTCGTCGATGACGCACTCTTAAGAACTGAGAAGCGCTAAATTACAATCAATGATAATTGGCTTTCTAATCTAACTAACCGAGACTTTATATCTGTTATTCTATTATACATATATTCATCATTTAATGCCCAGAATTAATTCGTTTTCACTGTGAGACATCAGTGCACAAGTTCGTCGGATCTGTCTTCGCTAGTGACACACCCATATGACTTTTAGTCAGTATCAAACTTCAAACGAAGTGTGTCAAAGTCTCACAATAGTCTGACCATTGATTTACAAGTCATAGTTGTGTGAGTGGCGCTACTTGTTAGGTTTTCGAAACAACGGAAAAATCTGAATATCCTGTGTTGACGAAGCATTGCCTTTTAATAGGAAAAAATATTGTTCAAGCAAGGGAATGAGTTGAAAGAATTTTTGTGGCTTGTGGATTGTGGATTGTGGATTGCATTGAAAGAAAGAGAATAGGAGGTAGGTTTGCTGATTTTAAACGCGACCATACAAACGACGATGATGTTAAACGCTGTGGCTGCCCAAATTCGGCATTGGTTTCATTCTATTTCGAACAAGTGCACAAAATTGTTTTGGAAGATCGAAAAGCAAAGTTGTCTGAGGTAGCTGACGGTATAATGATGTCAGAAGGCTGTGTATTTACTATTCGAAGGGGGAAGGAAATAGTAGATGTGCGTGCTAAAGTTGAATATAGAAACAGATCTTATGATAACGTTTCTCGATAAGCCCAGACGCAAATATGAAGATATTGTCTAGAAATTTGCAAAAGAATTTGGAAGTGGCTTAAACATTTCAAAGGACACGTCAACAACGCCTACGTGTTCATCCGACAAAAGCTTTTATTTTGAAAATAAAAGAAATCAGCCTCGCCCACTCTGCATATTGTAGAGCATAAAAATGTACTTGTTTTACTTTTTTGCCTTTTTATGATGATAACGGTGACGGGGACCAAAGATTCGATCGCGACTGAACTTTTCAACTTGTCCTTCACCCTGTGTGAATATGTATTTTTCAAATTTAAATATTGCATGATTGGATGGATGATAGTATCGCGGAAAATTCATCGCACTTTCGTCGTACTCCCGGTCTTAATAATGTAATGTAATGTAAAATTTTTCATTAATTTAGCAGTTTTTGCAAACCCATTTTTGGTTTCCATCCCTCCATTCCTTCGCGCAATGGTGCGAGAGTTTTCAGAACTGAAGCAATTGATCTTCGAGTAGTCTGCCGTTTATTTCGTTTCAAACTTATGTAAGGTGTTAAGCGTTCACGTTTAGCTGAATAGACTATGCGGCGTTGCCAACCGCAGAATTTCGCTGCATAAAGCTATTAAACTTTTAGTTTAACAATAATAAAGCAATGATTTTAAATTAAAAATTTACTAAAACAATTTAAAAACCTTTCCATCTTTAATAAGAACTCAGAGTATGAGTAACAGAAAAAGTGGCAAGAAATTAATTTTCACATCGTTTTTCAAGATATATTTCATTTTTTTTTTTTTTTACATTTTCATGACTATAAAACCCACACAGATGCACATGGCACGCAAACATAGATAATTTGCTTTATTCTTATGCTTATCACTTTCAGTATAGAATGATAGTGTTGTGGTAATTTTCCTTTCGTATGCTATACGCTATACCCAGTTTTTTTAGTCCACACATCTTCGTTGAAACATTTTGCGCAGTTTGTTGCACGAACACAAATCATCATCATTAGTTTTTTGTTTCTCTCCTTTTTTTTTTTTTCTTCCTTTCCTTCTCTCCCTTCTGCTAAAGTAGACAAAAACGAAATAGAAAAAAGCACAAAATATGAAAAAAAAAACAATCTCTCTCTCTCTCTCTCTCTCTCTCTCTATATATATATATATATATAGATATATATATATATGTATGTATGTATGTATGCATGTATATATTTCTCCCTGCATGTGAAATTTGCACCTTAAATTGTAGATTATTTGCATAGTATAATGATGCAAGAAAAAAAAAAAAAAAAAAACCTAAAAGAACAAGTAGAGTGGGTTTTCACACGAACGTAGACAGCAGCATCACTTTTCTTTATGACACGCAAGCGTGGTAGACAATTATTTAAATTGTCATTTTTATACTAAAAAAAAAAAAAAAAAAAGAAGGAAAAACGAAAGAAAAAAAACTAAAAATAAAGAAAGAGAAAAACTTAAAAGAAGGAACTGCAGAGTGTTACAAAAGCAAAGACATGAATTTAAAGTTCTAATGCAACGACAAATGCAACAAAAACAGAAAAGAGATTTTGTTCAGTTTAAATCGACACTTGAAACACTCATTATTGATATTTATTTTGGCCTTATAAGACAACTCTGAGTTAAGGGGCTCTTAGGTCTCTGCCTCTGTCTCTGCTTCATTCTTCTTTTACTATGCAAAGCGTTCAAAGCCGTCTCTTTTCAATTCGAAGAAAATATTTGGTCAGAAGTTACATGGTATATAGCTTACACTAAAAATCGTTTGCTCTCGTTTATGTTGTCTACGGAACAAGTCTTCTACTTATATGTGAATTGAATGGAGCTCAAAGTTTCGTCTCGGCTAATATTGTTAAAGCGATTTACGGTATGTCTTTCAATAGTTATTCATAGCTCTCAAGGCGCTAATTAAACTCCCATGGGTTTTGGAGAAAACGGACTTGATTCTCGAAGGTGTCTAATACTTTCAATATCAATCTTCAACTTTCTATATCTGTCTTTTACCGCTTAGTGCTTTAAATATCGAAATGTTGACAGGACGCGACGTCCTTACTTAATAGAAAGTGTTAATGGAGATGTTAATGGGGCGACCTTTAAAATCTCTATTCAAAAATTTAAAAGTAAACCTATGATCTTCAGCTTTCAACGCTTAATACGTTTAGAGTAGCGTACAGTGCGTCTCTTATATGAGATAAACTTATTACAGAATAAATGATTGCAAGCATTAGACATATCTTCTGCAATACTGTGAGCGAAAGTGAGCTTAAACAATCTTTAGTTCTTTAAACATAAAGCGTTCCAAAGCAATTTGCAGTTCCTTCGATTACAATTCAGAAGATTCAATAGTTCCCTTAGAAGGTTTGCATACGGATTGAAAGAGTTTTCAGTCGCCAGCATTTCACTCCTCTAGCTTTGGGCTATGTTTTTGACAGCGGGCCTTGCTTCACAGTGTGCCGTATATCTACAGTAAATGTAAGCATCGATGTACGGGTTGAACGGATTCTTACTTCTTTGCATTTTATTTGCTCCGAATGCCTAAAACGCTCAGGGCCGATATCCAATTAGATCTACCCTAATAAACTGCAAATCGGAAACTGTAAAAAAAAAAAATTTTCTTCTTTTTGAGAATGGATTCAGATTAGCTTTACTTTAATTTTCCTGCTTGTTAAGGTATCTTTTCGCGTTTATTCCCAACTGTTTCAGCCTTGGTGCGGTAACTAGAAATGTTTCAGTAATAAATAATAATATTAAGGTGTTTTATACAAGTTTTAAAGAAAGAGTCACGAACGGAGGTCTGAAGAGCTGGAGCTAATTAAATCGATTTACAATTTCCCGTTAATCGAGATTTTTCGAAAACACTAAAAGATGTAACAAATTGCAGTTGAATCAAATATTATCTAAGAGAATATCTTGCAAATAGAATACCGTAGCTCATGTACACTAGTTTGGCCTATATGCAGCAGAAAGAGAAGAACACAGAAGGCTAGCGCAACAAATATTCATCAACGATGTATATGAAGACTTGAGAATTTTTTTTTTTCTGTCCGAAAATTGTTACAGGACTAAATAGAAAGCAGTCATGCATTTGGAAAAAACAGAAACGAAATAAAAAATAATATGAAAAGAAAAAAAGAAAACGAATAAAAAAAATGACACGAAAGGAATTAGTTGAACTTTAAACATCAACTTTTGTGACACGTAGGTGCTTACGTGTATATATATATATATACATAATGTATGTTATATGGCTACTTTAGTTGTTAGAGCTGTGTGGGTGTTACAGCATTTTTTAACAAATCGCTACGATTTGTTGTTTGCATTTTCGTGCTACTCTTTTTTGCAGCACAATCCGATTAATTTTCCTTTTTTTTTTGTTCGTTCCCAACGATAACCGAACGAACACCCGTTCGCCAAAAGTGGGAGAAATGAACAAATAAGGAAAGCGTTCGCAACATTTGCCAACTGTTGCCCAAGTTAAATGAGCCTTATCTCAGGTAAGCAAAAGCACATTTCAAGACAATGAAGTGACTGCTAAGTATTCAATTTAAAGCAAGTGGGAAAGCTGAATGCGCCTTGAACCATGGACACCCATCACCTTGTTCGAGTTTTTCTATATATATATATATGTGTGTGTGTGTTTTCATTATTGAATCGATGCGTATGATAGTCCGATAGATTTAAGACAATTCTGTGCACAGCCACAAATTGTTTATAAAAATATTTAATAGTCTAAAATTTATTAAGCCTTCAAATCAAATTGGCGTCCGCAACAGCATCCGAGTAGATTAGAACAGTGACTTGCAAGTAAATACTCGCGGGTGAAAATCTCTGTGTGGTAGAGTTTACTTTGAGCTATAGTGAGTCTTCAGTCGATAAACGCATAACACTTATCGAGTGGGCACAGAGACCCAATAGGCTGCGGCCGTTTCCTTCAAT